GGGGCTGATGGCCTCGGGGATGGGGATGTGCCGGGCGTGCTCGGTGCTGGGACTGTCCCTTGGGTGTCCTGTCCTTCGCCTGTGCCCCATGCTCCACGCAGAACCGGGCTTATTTCCTGACGAGCCCTTGCACTCGTGCTATTGCAGCGCCCAGACCCTGCAGCCCCCAGACCCCGCATCCCCAAGGCTTTTGGCCGTGGTGCTCTGGGCACAGCTGGGAGAGGAGCTGCAGCGCCCGTGATGGGCTGGCTGGGAGCCCAGCACCAGCACCTGCCCTGGAACGGCCGCAGGAAGCTGCGGGAGCGGGGGGGGCGAGGCACGATGGAGCAGAAGCAGGTGGTTCCTCGAGTGCCGGTCCGTGCCTGAACCAGGGGTGGCCTTGTTGCTGTCCCCATTCCTCTGGCTGCTGCGTGGGCACCCTCTGCTGTCCTCCCAGCCTGCACAAAATAGAAACCCTGTGTGGTGCTACGAGGCCCCTGTCACCGCTTTATCCCTGTCCCGTTGGCTGTGGTGACATGAGCAGTATCCAGTCTTCCCCCCTTGAGCTCCTGCAGCGCCCGAGCCTCATCTGCGGGGAGGGGGGCCTGGGGGCATCTGCAGGGAATTCAGCCCATCCCCTCTGACTTCTCCTGCTTGGCTGCTCCTCTCCAGCTGTTTTCAGCCTGATTGTCCCACTTCCTTTGTCCTTTGGACAAATGGCCCTCCCTCCTGCCCCAAGCCTGTTCCTGTCTTCTGGGCTGTGACCATCCTTCGCAGCCTTTTTACCCCCCGTGTGCTTGCCCTGGGAAAAAACTGGCTCCAGGCAGTGCAAGAGATAGCAGAAGTGAAGGAGGAATAAGGGAAAGACAGGAGGAAAAAAAAAGTAAAAGAAATAAAGATGATAAATAGTTCTGATGAGCTCTGTGCTTGCTGCCTTGGGACAGGACAGCTGTGGGTTAGTTTTGGCCATTGTCTGTGCACAGAAGGGGGACAGACCACTGAATGGGGACGGGTTTGGGGGGAGGGGAGATGTGCAGAAGGGAAACAAGGCCCCCGGGTGTGTGCGTGTACAGGTATGGTTCTGATGGGGCTCTGTAATGTGGTCAGCACGGCGAAGCTCAGCACCTGTGAGTGAAGCTGGAGATCTCTGTACGTGTGTTTGGGCTGCGGCTGTGGCTGGAGGGAGCGCCAGAGCTGATATGAAAATCCTCACGGGGTGGCATCTGCTGCCATCCTCAGTGCCTACACCAGCCTGGGAGCTCTTGGTCCTGCCAGCTCCTTGCTGGTCTGGCTGTAGAAATGGGAGCCCAGGGAGGAACCACAGAGTGCCCCTGCTCCCTGCAGCAAATGAGGGGGTGAGGCAGCCTCTGAGCCCCTTCTGAGGACCAGGAGATCCTTCTGGCCTGTGTGCTCGAGAGGTGCCCTCCTCTCACACCTCTGCCTGGGCATTCCCTTCGTTAGGCTGGAATGTGAAAATGGGCTGGAGATGTGGCCACCGCGTCCTTCAGGAGAGCCGTGTGCTGTGCCCCCAGTGCTGCACCGCTGGGATGCTGCAGGCTGCTCATGGGCACGGGGCGTCTGCGCCATGGTGATGGGGAACGCGTCTGGCAGCTCTGGAGGGCAACTAGCAGACCTGGGACTGGTTCAGGGACCCTTGGGAGCTTCCCAGTTCTTACATAGTCCTTTGTGCTGGAAACAGCCACCGCAGGGAACACAAGCAAAGCCGAGCTCCCTGTCTGATCAGCACCTGCAGCCACACTGGAAAGAACTCTCATAGTCTGGAACCAAGTTGTCAGCGTAAATACTAAATGGGCTCAGATTAAAACAAACAAACAAACAAACAAAAAACCCCCCCAAAAACCACCAAAAAATCCCCAAACAGTTTGGCAGAGCTGGGTGCAGCCCCCTCG